TTCTTTTTTCGTCGCTCTCCTGGAGATCGAGGATCGCGGAGCTGGGAGGCTCGGGAGGCCGAGGAGGTCTTCGGCGCTTTCCGGGCGTGCGTTGGAGTCCTGGGGGGTCCAGGGAGGTCGACCCCTGAGATCCGACGAGCGTTAAAGATCACGACCAGAGCTAGACTCCTGTTCAATGAACGCGTGAATGCAGCGCTTGATTGCAGAGCGCTTGCCGCAAGAGCCACTGACCAATGTCGCTTTCGGGATCTAGGTCATCGATGTCGGGTGGTGTCAGAAATACGATGCCCATTGCAGATTTGTGTTTGCTACGTGCCGCACCCTCCACCGCACGATGGAGGATGCCGTGGCCAACAAGACGAGCAATCTTGACCCCCAGACCCCATCTTTCTGAGCCACTTTTCGAGCCGGAGCGATCCGTGATCGTCCCAATGCCCGAAAACAGACGAGCACGCCCAGCGCGAAGAAAAACGCGACGCCAGGATCTTCTGGTCGGCCCAAGCCCCTGTGGCTTTTCGGCTCATACCTCGGCTCTCCGGCGGCCGCTCGGGACGATCCGGGTACCCCTGGAACGCTCTCGGCGAGGCTAAGCCGCTGGAGAGAGCACCCCGAGGCCAGAAACGCGCCGAGTCTTCCACGAAAACGCCCGGAAACCACCGAGGACCGACGAAACACCCGAGCCTGCGGTCAGCAACTTTGGCTTAGCGTGTTGCGCCGCCGGTTCCTTGGCATCGCTCGGATGTGTGCAATTCCCCTTCGGCGAGGACACTCGAGGAGCATCCTTGATCATTTGGCGAAACAACCACGCAGGAAACCATAAAAAACACACGTCCGAGCGATGGCGAGGTTCTGGCCCAGCACGCTTCGGCGCGACACGCCATCCATGCTCCAGGCCCCGAGCGTCGGCGCCTGCCCTGGCCCCCCGCCCCGGGGAGCGCAGCGGCCCGCTGTCCGCAGGCAGCGCATGGCGCGTGGCCAGGGCCGCCGCCAGGAGACGCTAAGCAGACGTTCCCGATCGTATGTCCCCCTCCTCCTCCTCCTCCTCCTCCTCCTCCTCCTCCTCCTCCTCCTCCTCCCCCTCCTCCTCCCCTCCTCCTCCTCCTCCTCCTCCTCTTCCTCCTCCTCCTCCTCCTCCTCCTCCTCCTCCTCCTCTCCTTCTCCTCCTCCTCCTCTCCTCCTCCTCCTCCTCCTCCCTCCTCCTCCTCCCTCCTCCTCTCCTCCTCCTCCTCCTCCCCTCCTCCTCCCTCTCCCCCTCCTCCCTCCCTTCCTCCCTCCCTCCCTCCTCCCTCCCGTGTCGCCTCCTGAGCAATGCCGCCCCCCCCTCTCCTGCGTCCTTCCCCTCCCGTGTCCCTCCCTCCCGTGTCCCAGGGGAACAAAGAGTGACATAAACATAAAAAACTCGGAGGTCCGCGCGGATTTCTCGGATCGGCGCTGGACCCCCCTCCCTGGCGCGCGGAGCGCGCCAAGGGCGGCGCCGGAGGCGCCGCCGGGGGACCCCAGCGCCGATCCGAGAAATCCGCGCGGGCCTCCGAGTTTGTATGTTTATGCCACTTTTTGTTTCCCTAGGTCCCCCCCGTGTCGCCTCCTGAGCAATGCCGCGCTGCATCGTCGCCGTCGCCGCCCTCGTCGTCGCCAGAGGCAGGGGCGGCGTCGTGAGGATCGTCGTCGTCGTCGTGAGGGTCGTCGTCGTCGCCGCCGTCGTCGTGATGGTCGTCGTCGTGATGGCCGCCGCCTCCTGAGCAAGGCCGCGCTGCGGCGGGCGCGGGGCATCGAGACGGCCCTGGGAGGCGTGGCCGAGCGGCTGCTGGCGCCGCTGCTGCACGCCGGGGCCCTGGCGCCGGAGGACCTCCACGGCATCTGGCGGGGCTTCTCTGAGGTGCGCGGCTGGCGGGACTCGAAGGTGCCCCAGGAGGGCGGGGCGCCGGTCTCACAAGGGCGCGATGTGTGTCCTCCTCCTCCTTTTCTCCTCCTCCTCCTCCGCCCTGTCCTCCTCTTCTCCTCCTCCTCCTCCATCGCCTCCTCCTCTTCCTCCTCCGCCTCCTCCTCCTCCTTCTGCTCCGCCTTCTCCTCCTTCTCCTCCTACTCCGGCTCCTTCCCCTCCTCCTCTTCCTTCTCTTCCTCCTTTGTTCCTCCTCCTTCTTCTTCCTCCTCCTTCTCCACCTCGTGCTTTTTCTCCTCCGCCGCCTCCGCCTCCTCCTCCTCCTTCCGCCTACCTCCTCCTTTTCCCCTCCTCCTTCTCATCGTCTCCTCCGCCTCCACCTCCTCCTCCTCCTCCTCCTCCTTCTCCTTCCCTCCTTGTCCTCCTACTACTCCGGCTCCTCCCCTTCTCTCCTCCTCCATCCTTTTTTCCTCCTCCTCCTCCTTCCTCCTCCTACCTCCTCCTCCTACTCCGCCTCGTCCTCCTTCTCCTCCTCCGCCTCCTACCTCCTCCTTCGCCTCCTGCACTCCTCCGCCTCCTCCTCCGCCCCCTCCTCCGCCTCCTCAGTTTCTCTGTTATCAATCCGCCTCCTTCCTACTTTCCTCCCCTCCTACTCCTCCTCGCTCCTCTCCTCCTCCTCCTCCTCACCTCATCCTCATCTCATCATCATCATCATCATCATCATCATCACATCATCATCATCATCATCATCATCCTCTGCCTCCGCCGTTGCTCCTCCTCCTCCTCTCCTTTTCTCCCCCTCCCTCATCCTCCTCCCCTCATCCTCCTTTTCTCCATACCGCCTCCTCCCCCTCCTCCCGCCTTCCTCCTCCTACCGCGTCCTCCTTCTTCTCCTTCTCCTCCTTCTCCTCCTCCGCCTTGTCTTCTGGATCCTTCTTCCTCCTCCTTTTCCTCCTCCTCCTCCTCCTCCTCCTCCTTCTCGTCCTGTGCCTTATCCTTCTCCACCTCCTCCTCCCCTCAGCCTCCGTCTTCTCCTCTCCTTTTTCTCTCCTTCTCCTCCTCCTCCTTCTTCTTTCTTATCTTCCACCCTCCTCCCATCCTCCCCTCCTCCTCCCCTCTGCCTCCTCCTCCCCTCCTCCTCCTCCTCCTCCCTCCTCCTCCTCTTCACCGCTTCCTCTCAACCTCCTCCTCCTCCTCCTCCTCCTCCTCCCTCCTTTTGTTATCCTCCTCCTCCTTCTCCTCCCTCCTTTCTGTTCTCACTCCTTCTTCTCCTCAACCTCTCCTCTTTTCTCCTCCCTTCTTCCACCTCAACTCCTCCTTCTTTCTCCTCCTCCTCCTCCTCCTCCTCCTCCTCCTCCTCCTCCTCCTCCTCCTCCTCCTTTTCCTGGTCCCCGCTGCTTGCTTCTGGCGAGTCTCCGCAGGCAGCGGTGCGGCAGCTGCAAAAAGTGTTCCGTCGTATATGGTTCAATGTCTTTCTCGAGGGGCCGCAGTCGGTTCGGGACATGGGTCTTGGCCCCCAGCGGCTCCGCCACCACCATCACCTCGTCCTCCTGTTCTCCCTGGGGGGGTGGGGCGCGAGAGCGCCAAGGTATTCGCGAAGCGTGGAGCACGAAGCGCGAACACAGCTGCCTGTGAGGAGCCGCTACACTTGCCCAGATTTCGCCCTGTGGGGCCTCCTGGGAGGCCCTCGTCGCCTCCGCCGGCTCCGCCGGCTCCGCCTCGCATTTCTCGTCAGAGGTGCCTCGGGGGAGAGGTCCTGGGAGTACACGGGCGCTTAAAATAAGAGGGTTCCCTGGGGGCTCCGCAGCTCCTCAGCTCTGGGGCCTGGGACCTCTTGGTGGCCGAGGCTCGCCATGGCCAGATGAGCCCCTTTTGTTCCTTATTCGGCGCCGCTGATGGTCGCACGATCGCTGTGGCGATATCGGTATCTTTTGCCCCCCCCCCAGGAGTGCTTGCTGCAGATGCTCCGCGGGGCGCTGGAGCAGCTGAGCGACGCTGACCAGGAACGGAGGGGGGAAACAGCTGCCTGACCATAAACGCTCGGAGCCCCGCGGGGATTCCTTGTGCCAGCGCTGGACACCCCTCCCTGGCGCGCGGGATGCGCCAGGGGCGGCGCCAGGGGTGCCCAGCGCCGATCCCGAGAGATCCGCGCGGAGCTCCGCGAGTTCACGCTGATGCCGTTTCTGCTGGGCCTGTTTGCCACCACCACCACCACCACCACCAGAAGTTGGATGGGGGAAGGAGGAGGTCGAGGAGGAGGAGGAGGAGGAGGAGGAGGAGGAGGAGGTCGAGGAGGTCGAGGAGGAGGAGGAGGAGGAGGAGGAGGAGGAGGAGGACCCCCTCCCCCTCCAACTCGTGGTGGTGGTGGCAGAGGGCAGGCCCATCAGCCTGCCTGCCCCTCCAAGACGTGCGGAGGGCGCCGGCGGCACGCCGTGCAAATCGCCCACCCACGCCGGGTCTGGCCGGGCTGAGATCGTGGGCCCTGGGCTCGGTGCCGACGCCCCCCGTGGCCTCGGCCGGGAGAGCGCATGCACACTTTTTAACCTCAGGAAGGCATTAAGAACCCCCCCCCCCTTTTCCGGTGGATTATAACGCCCCCGC